GGACAGCCGGGGCACGAGGGTAAGGATTGCCATGTGCTTTCATGTAGGTTCTGCCGGTCTGCAGGTCACGAGACCAAGGATTGCCCGAGGTCCAAAACCTGCAACCTCTGTGGACGGTCAGAGCACGTCTACAGGGACTGCCCAGAAAGAAGCAGGACGTACGCTGGGGCCCTGAGCAAGGGCCCTGCTGCCAAACCAGCGCCACAGAAGCCTCAGAAGGACCCAGGTAAGAGGAACCCCCCTCCCCCCCCCCCCCCCCCCCCCCCCCCCCGGACCCTGGTCCCCCCGCCCCTGGCCCTCCTGCCCCTTCCGCCCCTGGCCCCCCCTGCCCCACCCCCCTCGGGCCCGGTTCCACCCCCCCCCTGACCTGTCCTCACAGGAGGATTTCCAGCCCCTTCCCCCTGCCACCCCCCCGTCAGCAGCTCTGCGGCGGGGATCAGGAAGCGGAAGAAGGAGCAGGCCAGCCCGGCGGCGGAGGACCCCCTCCTCCGCCACCAAACGGCCTGCCGTCCTCCAGGATGTCGCAGGTCCCGACCCCGTGGGGGAGCACCTCGACACACTGGAGGAAGAGGAAGAGGTGGAAGAAGAGATGGCTCTGACCCGGTCGGGGCCAGACCTCTCCACCGACTTCGATGAGGTCCTCAACGAGGTCCTCAACCAGATCGGACTGAGCCAGGACCCTGGCCAGGCCGCAGAGGTCGCCCCCCCTCTCCAGGGGAGGTAAGCACAGCCCCTGCCGACTAACCCCTTCATCTCTTTCCCATGATGGCTGAGATCTCTATCTTTTCCATTAATGTGAGGAGCATCAAGGATGTGTCTAGGAGGCAGACCGTGCTGACCTTTCTTTCCACACAGCAGAGTGATGTCTACATGCTTCAGGAGTGCGCACTTCCCCCTCTGAGGAGGTACACTCATTTGTCCTCCCAGTGGACCCACGGTCCCTCCTACTGGTCTGGGGGATGGCGATTGCAAGTCCGCAGGGGTAGCGGTTCTTATCAGGGGAGGACGTTTCACTGTTGACTCCGTCCATGAGCTCGTCTGTGGCTGCCTTTTGGTCATAGACGGTTCGTGGGCAGGGGAGCCCGTTAGGCTCATCAACGTGTATGCCTCCCCGGAGAAGAACGCGCGGCTGGAACTTTTCCAAACCCTGCGGACGCAACTCGTCACAACGAGAACAGTAGTAATCGGCGGTGATTTTAACTGTCCGATAGAGGAGGATGGGCGCAGCTCCAGCATGTACGCAAAACTCGACGCCACCTCGAAGCTGCTCCGGAAGGTGATTGCAGAGGTTTCCCTGCAGGACGCAGTGGGATCCGTGGGGCGCGGTTCCGTGAACTACTCATGGAGCCGCCCCGACGGATCTGTGCGTTCCAGGATCGACTTTGTGCTCACCTCCAGGGCAGTCAGGCACCGCGGGTTCTCCATGGTTCCCTGCTTTTTCTCTTACCACAGGGCCATTCACTTTCAAGGTGATCTGGGAGAGGGCTTTGCCCCGGGCCCAGGCTCCTGGAAGCTGAATTGCACCCTGCTGGACGATGAGGAACTGCTAGAGGAGCTCAGGGAAACCTACGGTGCCTGGCGAGAGGAGAAGTCTTTCTTTCCCAAGGTAAGCGACTGGTGGGAGTTCGTGAAAGTCAAGCTGCGCAGCTTCTTTCAGGCCAGGGGACGCCAGCAAGTGTGTGCCAGGAGGAGGGAACTCAGGAGGCTGCAGCGTCAGCTGCAGTCCCTGCAGGACCTTCATCACTGTGGCTGGGACGTGAGGCAAAGACCTGGAGGACACCAAGAAGAGCTTGAAAAAGCACTTTGAGGAAGAATCCAGGCACATTGTCTTCCGTGCCAAGGTGGAGCATCTAGAGAAAGGTGAGAAGTGTAACTCTTTCTTTTTCAGGAAACTCCACTCAGGACACACACCCCTGTCTGAGCTGCGCGACAAGACTGGAACACTCCAGAAGGGGAAGGAGGCCGTGATGGAAGTGGTCAGCGACTACTACTTCCCCAAAGAAACAAACACGGAAGCGGCCGACAGGTTCTTGTCAGGTATCTCTAACGCTATTGATCCTGCAGGTTTGTCGGCCACCAACGCCCCCTTGACGTTGGAGGAGCTGCACTCTGCCGCTAAATCCTTTAGGCGAGGCAGGACCCCGGACTGCGACGGTCTCCCAGCAGAGCTCTATGTAGCGCTGTGGGACCTCATGGGCCCGGACCTGCTCGAGCTGTACGAGGAGATGGTGGTGGAGGGCAAGATGCCTCCTTCGCTGAGGGAGGGGATGATCACGATCCTGTACAAGCGTAAGGGGGAGAGATGTGACTTGAAAAATTGGCGTCCCATCTCTCTCCTGAACGTGGACTACAAGATCCTTGCCAAAGTCATGGCGAACAGGCCGAAGGCTGTCATCGGACAGATCATCCACCCGGATCAGACTTGTGGCATTCCTGGCCGCAGGATTGCGGACAGCCTTGCGCTTGTCCTTGTCCGGACACGGTCCAATACATCAAGGACCGCCGTGTGCACGCGGCCCTGGTCAGTCTTGACCAGGAAAAGGCCTTTGACCGTGTCTCCCATGGGTTTATGTGCAGAGCCCTGCGCAAGTTTGGTCTCAGGGAAATGTTTTGTTCGTATGTGGATATTATGTATAATGACATTTGCAGTTCCGTGCAGGTGAACGGCTGGAAAACTGACCCCTTCCCGGTCCTCTCCGGGGTCAGACAAGGCTGCCCTCTTTCACCTCTGCTTTTTGTTTGCTGTATAGAGCTCTTCGCCGAATGCATCAGACGGAATCCAGAGATCGGAGGAATCACCGCACCGGGACCAGACAGACGGGAAGTGAAGTGCTCGCTCTACATGGACGACGTGACGGTGTTCTGTGCCAACCAGCGCTCCATCTGCTCGTCCAGACCTGCGAGGACTTCGGCCAAGCTTCGGGGGCAAAGGTCAACTGCGGGAAGTCGGAAGTCATGCTCTTCGGAAAGTGGTTCCTGCCTTCTTCTGCATTCAAGACAGACTTCATGAAAATTTTGGGAGTGTGGTTTGGTGTCGAGGGCGCAGCCCTAAAGTCTTGGGAGGAGAGACTGGCTAAAATGCGGCAGAAATTCGGACTTTGGAGCCTCAGAGACCTCTCCATCGAAGGGAAGACACTGGTACTCCGCAGCGAGATTCTCCCTGTGTTGCAGTACCTCGCCCAGGCCTGGCCCCCACGGGTCAACACCTGTAAGGCCATCACCAGGGCGGTGTTTCACTTCATCTGGGGCTCCAAGATGGACAGAGTGAAGCGGGCAGTTATGTTCGAGGAACCCCTCAAGAGCGGTAAGGGCGTGCCCGACATCGCCACCCAACTGAGGGTGTTCTTTGCTTGCAACTGCATCCGCAGAACTTTGCCCAAACGGATTATGGACTCTGGCGGGAACGCAATGTCTCGCTTCTTCCTGTTGCCTCTCTGGAGGTCCCTCGGGTGGGACACTTTGGGATAGTTCCATCCCCTACAACTGGGACACTCCTTGGTACTACTTGGATACCTTCAAGTTCATCAGGGAGCAGGGGCTGCAGGGAGTCAAGCCTGACTTGTGGAAGCCAAAGACCATCTACAAGCTGATCAGAGGAAGCGACATTTTGGAGTCGGTTCCAGGCCTGCCTTCAGACACCTGCAAGGTGGTCTGGAGGAATGTTTCTTCAAACATTCTCACCAACAGGCACAAAGACCTGGCATGGATGGCAATCCAGGGGGGGTTGCCTCTCAGGACATTTATGCATGCCAGGAACCTGAGCAGATACAGACACTGCCCCTTCTGCATCATCCATGAGGAAACGTCTCACCACGTTTTCTGGGAGTGTTCATTTGCTCAGGCCCTGTTGGGGGCCCTGGAACCTGAACTCAAGGACTTTGTACCACAGACAGTCATCACTCACTTTGGGGTGTTGAATGGACTATTCTGTTGGGACTTTTTCTCTGGAGGACATTGACGGCGCCTGGCGGGTGCTGTGTTGTTTTAAGGACGCTTTATGGTGCGCCAGAAAGCGCCTCATCCACCAGCGGGAGAGGATGTCCATTGAGGACTGGCGCAGACTGATCCTCAGTCTGCTCAGAGACTATACCTTGATGGACTTTAAGGAGGAAGAGGACGTCTGAAGATTCCCCCTTCCCCCTACTCCCCCTTGCGTGTCTTTGTCCCTTCAATAAAGCTTCGGGCCTGTGTTTCCCCCTTTTTTTCCCCCTCCCCCCCCCCCCCCCCCCCCCACACACCCGATGCCTATTGTAGACTGTAACGTTCGGTTTTCGTTTTTGCATGATTTTATGACATTAGGAAAAGTATTGTGTATTAGGATGCTACGGTTTTTGGGGGTAAGCGGCGTTATGCATGACGTGGTGGTCTGGAGATTCGTCCTCCACGCACATCATGTCAGGCATCATACCGCTGAGGGAATGTATTTATTCCTGAATGTATTTATTGTATGCTTGGAACTGTATTGCAATGTGGTGCGCTGCGTCGCAGTACAGGGTGAGATGTACCCCGATTACAAGTATCATGTTGTTTTTGATGCTTCTGTAATAAAAGTATCTTTTCAATCAAAAAAAAACATTGCAGCGACTTTAAAAAAAAAAAGTTAGAATTTGGAGTTGGACTAGTGTGAACCGAGCCTAAGAGCTGGGGATTGTTGGCAAGTGTGATTGGGGGGGGGGGGGATTGCCATGGCAAAAGGACTGGATGTACTACATATGCCCTGTGTACTTTGAAGTCGTTTTTATGGGCATGTGTATCACACTCCCAGTGTGCTACATGAGTTAAAAATGTATTTAAAAAATCAAATAAAACTGACTTAACAAAAAATATTGGTGATAAACATTCACTAATGTAATTATCCTTTGTCCCCAGTAACAGTGCATTGCTGAGAGTTCCAAGCATATGCAATTCTCTGCCAATGTATATGATGCACCAAAGCCACATATTTCAGTTGCTGGCTACTGGAAAGCAGGAGATTAAGAAAATGTAGGGTTGCAACGCACCTGCCAAAAAGCCTCCAATCTCAAAGCTCCACCACTCAATGCACACCATGAGCATGCTGGGGATCGCTAAGCGCATAAATAAGCCCCATTCCTGTAAACAGTCTGTGGACCAACCTAACAAAGATAATATAACAAATGAAATGCAGTACACAAAAATGTGACAATCTTCTTCTGGATATTTACTATACAGATATAGCTGAGTGAGCTTTATACTGACTCACATACCTCCCCAAGTTGATACATGCAGTTTTTTCCTAATAATATAGGCAAATAGAACACCAGACATTGCAAACTGAGATACTGTGTTTGCCCAAGCTGATCCTCTATAAAAAAATAAATAAAAGCATTTTAACTACACAAGAAAGAACAGAATTATGTTACAAAACACATTTAAGCAATGCATGTTAGTTGGGCCTATTAACCCTAAGAATTATTAACTCTAAGAATAAAAATAAAAACTGAAAGAAAACAAGTGAAGTGTAAATATGTTTTCAGCTTGATAGATACTGTATATGTATTTAGTTCAAACAAAGCCAGGAGCTAGAAAATGTCACTGTATAATGTCATCATGCATTTGCAGTTGTGACCACTGTTTTATGACATAAATTATCATGGATTTGAAAGCAGTCTGATCCTGTATATATATCCCATAATTCAGAAAGATGTCTGTGCACTGTAAAAATGTATTTAAACTACTGAAGTATATCACATGTGTCTAAGTTGCAGCATTATCAGTGTTAAATATCCAGTGCTTTGATTGGAGAAGGGGTGTATAACCTTTATATTCTCCCTCCTTCCAAACACAGTGTCTTGCATTGATTGAAAATAATGCAAGATGTTTACTGAATGGAAAACCTGGTATGTAAGCAATCCACTGTGACTCCTGCTGAGATTTTAACTCTCAAAACCAGAGGTGTAGTATGGACTGCAGTGTACTGGCATGAATGAAAGTCAGAGTTATTTATTTATTTATTTCAGGTACTTCTATAGCGCCATAAATTTACGCAGTGCTTTACATATGTATTGTACATTCACATCAGTCCCTAACCCTCAAGGGGCGTACAATCTAAGGTCCCTAACTGACATTCATACATACACATACTAGGGCCAATTTAGACAGGAGCCAATTAACCTACCAGCATGTCTTTGGAGCGTGGGAGGAAACCGGAGTATCCGGAGGAAACCCATGCAGGCACAGGGAGAAAATGCAAACTCCAGGCAGGTGGTGCCGTGGTTGGGATTTGAACCAGCGACCCGAGTACTGCCAGGCGGAAGTGATAACCATTTAGAGTTGTACAAAACTCCAACCTAAACACATGGGACATACTTCATTAGTGTGGATTTATATAAAAAACATACAGTAATACTGTGTAAAAAAAAAAATACTTACTCAACTCCAAGCTTTAAACCATACATAAAGATGGCATTCACAGCAACATTAATGAGGTTTACTGCAAAACCAGTTATAACCTGTGGCCATATTATATTCTAGAATAAAAGATAAAAGCAAACTACAAAGTAAATACCTTGGAACAGTAGTAATTAGAACCATCAACATATTTAAAAACCCACAGTAAACCCAGATATGTATACATTTAATAATCCTTAAATATTAAAAAATAGCACTTTAATCTGTCCTTATGTTAGCAGCCTGCAATCCACTGCATAGTATGATTCAAACAGGAAGAAGAGGGGCACAAAGGAAGAAGCATGCTGTAAACCATAAAGGGTTCTACTGCTATGCATTGTCCTGTTAATAACACAGAGAACTCATCAATGTACTTCTGTTATTTTACTATTCAGTCACCAGCTAGGACCAGTCCATGACTAGGCTTCACTGCAGAGGAGAAAAGTGAGATCAGCAATCAGACCATGTTACCTTACAGGACTAAGTGACTCTTAAAGTGTTACTAAAGTAGAAAAAAAAATAATTAAAATAACAAACATGTTATACTCACCTGCTCTGTGCAGTGGTATTGCACAGAGTGGCCCCAATCCTCTCCTCGGGCTCCCTGCCGGCGCTCCTGGCTCCTCCTCTTTGTGTCCCCATAGCAAGCCATTTACTATGTCTGTGCTATCAAAAGCTGTATGTCTATGGAGCTACTCTCCATAACCTTACACAGAGGGACATAGCCCCACCCCCACTTCCTCCTAACTGCATTTGATTGACAGCAGCAGGAGCCAATTGTTCCTGCTACTGCTCGAGTACTGTGTGAAGAGGAAGAAAGGGGAGAAAAAATGCAGCCATGCACAGTGCTGGATCTATTCTCCCCTCTCTTCCACACGGAAGGGGGAGGACAGGGAAATAGAATTTTTTTTTTAATCTTAATGTAAAGAATGCATTAAGGTAAAAAATATTTTTAGCTTTAGTATCACTTTAAAGTGTCTTTCCACCTTTGCAGTCAAATTTTGCAAATTCCCAACATACATTTGTTAGGTTTTCTTATTCACACAGCACACCTAAAATTATAGCCTGAAATGTGCAATTAAAGAAATTAGAGACAGATTTAAGGACAGACTGGTTTAAAAGTGCATTAACATACAATGTAACATCCAAGCCTTGAGATCTTTAACCCTTTGTTAGGAGAGACAGTGTGCACATCAAGTTTACAATTGATAATAAGATCTGTCAGCGCAGTATAAACAGCTTTAATTATGGTAGATATAACCCACGGCCCCCCACATAGAAAGAGAAAGGTAAGAAAGGTTTTCAGCAATGAAATAGGTAAGCATCAAGTTTAAATATATTTTTCAAGTTAGACTATGTGAATTGGAACATGTAACAAATTTAAAGTAGGTCTTATCCTTATATGGCTGCAAAGGTGGAATAACACCTTAAGCCCTGGTTCGACTTGTTATGTGACTAATAGACTATGTGACTATTTCAAGTCGCATGACACGTCGCACCCTATTGTTGGCAATGGAACCATTCAAATCGGTGCAACATCAACTTAGTCAGAGTCGCACCAATTTTGAAAGTAGTTCCTGCACTACTTTTTGCGATTTCAGGTGCAACTTGCATAGACATTTGTGAATAAAGTTACACAGATGTCTTCCAAGTCGCACCTGAAGTTGCACTGACATGCATCTTTAAAAATGAGCAACTTTAAGTGAAGTCGCACGATTTCAAAGTTGGATGCAGTGTGAACCCGGCTTAGTGTGACTGAACAGAAGAAGGTGAACAAAGGGTCCACCGCCATTCTGGGTTAGTTGGTAAGCCCCAGAGCAGTACTAGAGATGTGTGGACAAAATAAAGAGTGGATGGCAGACAGGCACACTGCAGATCATCTCTGTGACTATTATTCAGAAAGAGGTTCTTCATACCCTATTCCTCTGTACAATATAGTGTCCGGTAATGAGTGGGAAAGTGAATCCTTAGCAGTTAACTCTGCCTTCTATAAAATGATTGCTGCACAGAAAAAAGCAAGGTAAATTATATGATGAGTATACCTGGTTCTGTAAATATCGTGTCTGCAGCTGGTAAAGGAAAACTGCCTGTAAATAGATATTTAAATTTTAGAAATTCCTCACAGCGGCAAGACAAAAAAAATACATTTCAAATCCCCACTTTGGGAAACCTAAAAGTTATCCCTGCTTGTATACTGCAAGGGTTAATTGTTTTTTAGATCTAGGGGACTTTTTTAGACCTGCACTGGCAGACCAGTCCCCACAGCATCTGGTCCAGCGGTCTAAGATCCTGACATCATTAAGACCAATGCAGGGTTCATAGCCCTGCATTGGACAGGATGATGCTGAGGGAGAGTCCTCTGCCAGAGTATAGGGGAGTGCAATCTGCTGAGGAAGTAGATGACCATGTAAAAATGTCCCCTAGATTAAATAAACAGTTAATTCCTGCAGTGCAGGTGCAGCCCCTCTGTGAGGGGTAATTTTTAACCACTTGCTGCCCAAGCCAAATTTGAAACTTCTCACATACATGTAAAAACCTGCATTTACTGGATAATTACATAGAACCCCCAAACATTATATATTTTCCAAAAGCAAATGGCCCAGGAGAAAAAAATAAAGATAAAGAAAAATAGTGGCCGTTGCAGTTTTTTTTATGTCACATGATATTTGCAAAATTTTCAGGCAACAGTACACTTTATTTAATTTTAGCACACACAAACACACAATAATATCCAATTTTTTTGGTAAAATAAAATATGATGTTACATGGAGTAAATCGATAAATAAACACGTACCACTTAAAATTTGCCCACCCCCTTGAATGGAGACAAACTACAGTAACTAAAACTCTCCATATTAAAACAAACAATTTGCGCTAGTAAAAAAAAAAGAAAAATATATTTGTGAAAAAAGTTATGAGTCCCATAGACCATATAAAGTCACATAATTACTGTGGTTGGTGAAAATAATATATTTGCAAACAAAAATCCACCAAAAAAATTGTGTCAGTCCTCCACCAAATAAACTCACCAGAGCTATATGCTGATAATAAAAATCAGCATAAAGCGCTTTTTTTGCTCTGGGAGCGATGAACAGCAGATTGATGAGACAATACTTGGCTTTAAACACGATATCCAGGGAGCAATACTCTGCAGTAGCATGTGTCACTAAATAGATCCACTTCTTATAGACACCACCATAACCATAGGATGTTTAGAAACACTTGGAAAAAAGAACAAAAGCTCATGGTGCAGTACCCTTTAAAATCATCTCCTTTAATACAAACACATTGCACTTACAAGAAACGGTGACCTGACAGACACCAGCATAAACAGCATATCCAGATCAAGTAAAATGAACCCAGCAGCCTCGCCTATAACGAGGATGGGACGTCTCACATCCATCCGCTCCGTGAGAACTTCAAAGATGAAACGCGTAGGGAGGGGCTTGATTGATGTGATGTCATTACGTTCCCAATAGTCAGTACGGCGCATGTGCGAGGCTGCTGGGTTCGTTTTACTTGATCTGGATATGCTGTTTATGCTGGTGTCTGTCAGGGCAGCGTTTCTTGTAAGTGCAATGTGTTTGTATTAAAGGAGATGATTTTAAAGGGTACTGCACCATGAGCTTTTGTTCTTTTTTCCAAGTGTTTCTAAACATCCTATGGATATGGTGGTGTCTATAAGAAGTGGATCTATTTAGTGACACATGCTACTGCAGAGTATATTGCTCCCTGGATATCCTGTTTAAAGCCAAGTATTGTCTCATCAGTCTGCTGTTCATCGCTCCCAGAGCAAAAAGCGCTTTATGCTGATTTATTTAGTTTATTTGGTGGAGGACTGACTACATTTTTTTTGGGTGGATTTTTGTTTGCAAATATATTTTTTTCATCAACCACAGTAATTTAGAATTGCTTTATGTGACTTTATATGGTCTATGGGACTCAAAACTTTTTTTCACAAATATATTTTTCTTTTTATTTACTAGCGCAAATTGTTTGTTTTAATATTTGCACACTTTATGGTCATAGGGTGGATTTGCAGCTGGTAGTATATTTATATATATTTTTTTCATTATTCATTATATTTAATTTAGTGTGAATATTATATATTTATATTTGTTTTTCTTTGGGCCATCTATATTTATCCATCATAAAAATCTCCATAGTTGACACTTTAAAAGCCTTTACAGGTTACCAGTTTAGAGTTACACAGGAGGTCTGGTGCTAGAATTATTGCTCTCGCTCCGACATTCCCGGCAATGTCTCACATGTGTGGTGTAATCACTGTGGTAGCTACGTATGCATTTACTTTAGCACGGGAAGGGGGGGACATCCCTTGTAATAGCATGGGCAGTGACAAGTACTCTTTACTGAGAGATCTCCCCTCTCCTCTCTCAAAAGCATCTGATCGAACTGATATTGCTTTAATCAGATGCTTTAGTCCTCATGCATACTGGACGTTTTTAAAGCTGCTGTTTTTGGCTTTTGATGTTTTTTTCTACAGCCAGTAAACCCCCCAGCATGTTATCCTACAGTTGCAAGAAAAAGTATGTGAACCCATTGGGATTACGTGGAGTTTTGCATGAATTGGGCATAAAATGTGCTCTGAACGTCATCTAAGTCACAACAATAGAAGAACACAGTCTGCTGAACATAATACTACACAAACATTAGATGTTGCCATGGTTTAACCGCTTGCCGCCCTGTCACCGTGTATATACGTGTGCAGGGCGGCAGTGGAGCGCAAAACCACATTTAAAAACGGGTTCTGCGCTCCCAACACTTTCGCCGGCAGGGGGCGCGCGCGCTCCCGCCAACCCGCGGGTGACACGATTTGATCCAGGAGGGATCAATCATTAGATTTCAGCCAGTGATTTCTGGCTGAAATCACATGATCGGTCCCTGTCCTATCCTGTCCTGAGTTGACATACACACAGGGCAGGATATGATGTCATTCTTCTCTGCCAGGACACATTCCGTTCCAGACAGAGAAGAAGACATCCAAAAAGTGAGTACACAAGCACTACACTACAGTTAGAACACTCTAGGACACATTTAACCCTCTGATCGCCCCCCCCCCCACCCCTCCCCCCCAGTTAACCCTTCACTGCCCTGTCACCAGTGTCACTGATCAGTGAAGCGATTTTTACTGATCAGTGTCGCTGGCAACTTCCGATAGAGTTAGCGCCCCTCCCAGATAGCGCCAGATTGCCCGCCAGTACACCAGTAATCCTGTTTAACCCCTTGATCGCCCCTCCCCCCCCCCCCTCCAGTTAACCCCTTCACTGCCCTGTCACCAGTGTCACTGATCAGTGAACCAATTTTTACTGATCACTGCATCAGTGTCGCTGGCGACTTCCGATTTAGTTAGCGCCCCTCCCAGATAGCGCCAGTTTGCCCACCAGTACACCAGTAATCCCGTTTAACCCCTTGATCGCCCCCCCCCCCCAGTTAACCCCTGCACTGCCCTGTCACCAGTGTCACTGATCAGTGAACCAATTTTTACTGATCACTGTATCAGTGTCGCTGGCGACTTCCGATAGAGTTAGCGCCCCTCCAGATAGCGCCAGATTGCCCGCCAGTACACCAGTAATCCCGTTTAACCCCTTGATCGCCCCCCCCCTCCAGTTAAACCCTCCACTGCCCTGTCACCCAGTGTCACTGATCAGTGAACCAATTTTTACTGATCACTGTATCAGTGTCGCTGGCGACTTCCGATAGAGTTAGCGCCCCTCCCAAATAGCGCCAGTTTGCCCGGCAGTACACCAGTAATCCCGTTTTAAACCCCTTGATAGCCCCCCCCCCCCCCCCCCCCCCCCAGTTAACCCCTGCACTGCCCTGTCACCAGTGTCACTGATCACTGAACCAATTTTTACTGATCACTGTATCAGTGTCGCTGGCGACTTCCGATAGAGTTAGCGCCCCTCCCAGATAGCGCCAGTTTACCCGGCAGTACACCAGTAATCCCGTTTAACCCCTTGATCGCCCCCCCCCCCAGTTAACCCCTGCACTGCCCTGTCACCAGTGTCACTGATCAGTGAACCAATTTTTACTGATCACTGTATCAGTGTCGCTGGCGACTTCTGATAGTGTTAGCGCCCCTCCCAGATAGCGCCAGATTGCCCGTCAGTACACCAGTAATCCCGTTTAACCCCTTGATTGCCCCCCCCCCCCCCCAGTTAACCCCTGCACTGCCCTGTCACCAGTGTCACTGATCAGTGAACCAATTTTTACTGATCACTGTATCAGTGTCGCTGGCGACTTCTGATAGTGTTAGCGCCCCTCCCAGATAGCGCCAGTTTGCCCGCCAGTACACCAGTAATCCCGTTTAACCCCTTGATCGCCCCCCCCCCCCCCAGTTAACCCCTTCACTGCCCTGTCACCAGTGTCACTGATCAGTGAACCAATTTTTACTGATCACTGCATCAGTGTCCCTGGCGACTTCCGATAGTGTTAGCGCCCCTCCCAGATAGCGCCAGATTGCCCGCTAGTACACCAGTAATCCCATTTAACCCCTTAATCTCCCCCCCCCCCAGTTAACCCATTCACTGCCCTGTCACCAGTGTCACTGATAAGTGAACCGATTTTTACTGATCACTGTATCAGTGTCGATGGCGACTTCCGATAGTGTTAGCGCCCCTCCCAGATAGCGCCAGATTGCCCGCCAGTACACCAGTAATCCCGTTTAACCCCTTGATCGCCCCCCCCAGTTAACCCCTTCACTGCCCTGTCACCAGTGTCACTGATCAGTGAACCAATTTTTACTGATCACTGTATCAGTGTCGCTGGCGACTTCCGATAGTGTTAGCGCCCCTCCCAGATAGCGCCAGTTTGCCCGCTAGTGCACCAGAAATCCCATTTAACCCCTTGATCGCCCCCCCTCCCCCCCCCCCCCCCCCCCCCCCCCCAGTTAACCCCTTCACTGCCCTGTCACCAGTGTCATTGATTACAGTGAACAGATTTTTACTGATCACTGTATTAGTGTCACTGGTGACTTCCGATAGTGTTAGCGCCCCTCCTAGATAGCGCCAGTTTGCCCGCTAATGCACGGGATTTTTTTTACCAAAAACATGTAGCAGAATACATT